AGACCATAGGTGTTTATTGAATGAAATATTTTATTACAGCAATGTGGAAGTATCTGTTAGATGAAAATAAATAATTTCTTCTGGAAGGAAATTAAAGTTGGGTTTATAGTCTGAATTGTAAATTTCATGTCAATAATAAGTCTAAATTTGATGTAGGTATATACATGTACCCAATATAAACTTCTCTTTAATACTCACATATTTCTTGATCTTCCGTCCTTTTTTAAAATAATTGTATCTTTTGTTGGCCTTATTTGTAAAGAGAATTCCCCTGCCTCCCTTTATTTATATATGTATTTAGAGGTTAAAACCCTTTTAGACTTAATAAGGAAGAGCTTATGTATTAGTAGTAATGGCAATTAAGGATTTATGCAATTAAGTCAGGCTGTTTTAAGAAGACAAGTAGAAGACTTGGTTATTGAAACCACTAAGGTAGCATTAAATTACAATAAATACTAACTTCAAAAATGTAGAATATTCACCAAGATTTTGGAATTGGAACCTTTATTCTTTCTTATGAGGAATAGGCCTATGAAAGTTTCAACTTTTTAACCTAGATTTATAGTCCTCTTTCCTTTTTTATTTTAGTTCTTTTGGGTGAGACAGCAGCAGTAGAAAAATACCCAATATATCTTCAAATTCACATGGACTTAGTGAATAAATCTCTTGAGTTGAGCTAAATAATCTTTGAATATTAACTTTTAAATATTCAATATTTAAATACTGAATTTTCATTTTAGAAGTTCAGAAGACTAAACATAAAATAGAGATAACATTGCTAAAATGTTGCTTATAGTTAACAGGAAGTAAGAAAACCCATTGAAATGTTTTGTTTTTAAACACATAGCCATCAATCAATACTATTAAAATGTACAATTTGTTATGGGCTTTTTCATTGTTGTTGAATTTTGCTCTGTTTACTACTGATAGACTATTGGTAGCTATTTTGACAGGCAAATATTAATTGGAAAATGATTTTTTAATTTTTCAGATAAGGAAAAACAACCCATAACCTCATTCAATCAGATTAACAATTTTCTATCTCAAGTGTAAATCTAAGTTATGATTCAAATAATTATGCATCAGACTTCCATTTATACCACCCACCTATTTCTTCGGAAAAAGTTCACTGGAAAAGCATTTCACTTGTTCTTGTTAGATGCTTTCTTGGCTTGATAACAGTGATTTTTCCATACTCTCTTAGAAGAGACATTTTCCAGGAATCCAAATGATCCTCAGCCGGGTTTTAAATGGACTAGGCAGGAAGCCCTGTGAGGCTGGGGGTTGTTCCCTAGCACCACACACAATGCCTTCTATGGATTTTGAGATGTACTTACCTAGTATTTAGGGCTATAATACCTAGTATTCAGTAATATAGGGTTGCTCACCTAGGATTTGCTGAATGAGTGGACAATGAAATAACAACCAAACTCAATTAGACAGTATTTTAAAACTTACATTAGAAGTAGTTCTGAAGTTCTCCTTGTTTATATATAAGAAAACCAAGAGGCTTCCTTCAGCCCTCTGCCTAACGTGCATGTCGTGTTACACCATTAGCTATTAATTCTTTTCTTTAACCTGGGGATCTGTATCTTATGACTAGAATTCTAAACAGACAAACATATGTTCTAAAGATGGTCAGTGTCATTTATTTTCGGTCATTACTATCTGGCATGATCCATTGCTGCTTTAAGCAAACTATATGACTAACTATATAAATGTACCTCCAGTTTCATTTACATATGTTTGGATATTAATACAAACCCCTCGCCCCCCACCATACTAAACATACTGAGATATATTGGCATGCTGGACTTGAAGCCAGATGACATGGATGAGGCCAGGTTCTACTATGCACCAGTGACCTGTGTGAACTTGAGCAAAATATATAACCTTTCTGGTCCTTTATTGATAAATAATACCTAATTCAGAAGTCTCTTGTGAGGATTAAGTGCAGAAAGTAGTCTACATACATAAGGCTTTTTTTGCTATTCAGATCCCAAAAGAAAACAGTTGAATTGTTGATTTTCCTCAGCCTATGTCTACATGAGCATGAGACTGTTTTGACAAGAAGTAGATGGGAATGCACACTTGGCACATATTCTCCCTTGTTACCAAATCTAGTCATGTTAAGATAATGCTTGATCTAAATGCTTGCTTCAAAGCAGTTGGTTGTGCCAGAGTAGAGAAATTTCTAGTGAAAATGTTTAGGGATGAATTAGGTCAACTCCAGGGACTCACTTAGTATGTCATACTTACATTTATGATCCAACCCAAGACATTTATCTACACACCCATTTCTACCCTTTTAGGACTGATCTCAATCTTTGAGCTAAAACCATCTGGTGGCAATTTGCACTGCTTGTTAGCATAGGCAGAAGAATCAAATTAACCCGGGACTGTGCTATTTTGAGTTCATTCAAATAGTCTTTACTTGCTGATGTGTGTCCCTGCTCACTGTGCTAGATATTAATGAGTAGGCTCTGCCAGCAGCAGAACAGCTAGCATCTATCAGGGAATCAATCTGGGTTCATGCCATTGATGCCCGGCTTCTCGACCCAGGGATATATTTTATAGGGGACACCAAAAAAGTATGTGAGGTTAGAAGAGTATCAATTTTGCTCGTTGATAAGTAATATAAAACACCACTTCTTTTATATTCAAACATATGTTATAGAGTAAAAGGCAGCATTTACATGAACTTTTAATGTAAAACATAAGACTTCAAAAAACTCTGTGCTTGGTATATTTGCAGACCATTCCAGGCATATATGTTCATTCTCTGCATTAGATGCAGTTCACTAAAAAAGTTTAGGAATAGCTGCACAAGTGCGTTCTGGGAGGCCTTGGTTCCCAAAGTGCTCCTTGTGGAATACCAAAGTCAAAGTTTTTTTTAGAAGAACATTTAATGTTTTTTTTCCCTGCAAAGACTTCTGGCTCATAGGGGCTAAGAAGATTTGAAGGTTAAGCTTTCCATGGGATGTTCCTGAAAGTTCTTTAAAATTTAAAAAATATTAAAACATTTTTAGGGAGAATGCTTCCATAGGGGAATGTTTAAGATTTTTCATCTAAGCAAGATTTCTAATATTAAGCATTCTGGGGCAGGGTTCTCAGTGGAAGGCCTGATCGATATATATGAAAGGTGGGCATTAGTGAACTGTCAGGGCAATAAGACAAGTCCATTTGTACAGAAAGATAAATAAAAAGAATTGATATTCAATAATACTGAGACATCAGAAGATGGTTGCTTCATGAGACTAGGTAAAGAAAACGATTGTCATAACTTATTTGCCAGTCAATTAGCAGCAGATAAATCTGTTCAACTTGAAAAACTATATATAGAAGATTCAAACACTCTAGATTTACAAAACCCGATCAACATTTAGTCTTAGATAATTGAAATAAGTATGAGTGAAGTAAATACCAATGATTAATGACCATAAACTCTTAAATGTTATGTTTTGAAGCAAATATGAAATCCATTAAGAAGTTCTAAGCACAGTGAAAAAGAAATGCTTTAAATCATTTTTAGCACTAGACTGCTTGGATTTTTAACTAAGATCAAAACTTGTTTTCTTATCTGAGCTATAATGACCAGATTCTGTTAATAAAGAAATGTTATTCCTTAAAGCCTTAGATTCTAAATCCAGTTGTCTTTTTCTAGTGTTTTTTTCTTTTAAAAATAGAAAAAAATTAAAAACTTTTTCTTTAAACAAAAAGTGCTTTAAATTTGGTTCAGAATTTTCCCGACTATTTCCATCAACTATGCACGCACGCACGCACACACACACACACACACACACACACACACAATGCATTATGCTGAGACAAAACTTGGACATTCCTGAGAGACCAGAAAGTCATGTTAATTGAAGTCTTAAGGGAGCTTAGAAATAATTTTGTCTTGGTTGTTACTGGGGTAAAACAGTAACTGAGAGAAGTTTTCGAGGCTTGTGCAGGATCACGTATCTGGTGGCTGCCTATCTGGAACTGCAGCCTTGATTTCCTGTGAAGCAAAGTGGATTCAAATGACCTGGATTCTAGCACAGACTTCCCCAATACAGCAACCACCAGTTTGCACCTTCACTCCTCTGGATTTCACTGTTCTCAGGTCAAAATGCTGGAAGTGGCTTTCAACAAGGATAGTACTGACCCCTTAGGAATGTTAGAAACTTGAGGGGGTGTTTCTAGTTGCTGCAATTACTGGTGCTGCTGACATCTGAGGCCCTCCCCAAGCAGCAGTGTTTCCTCCCCACACTGGGAAATAGCAGATAAGCTGTTACCAGGCCAGGACTCTTTTTATGGTAACTTATTTTTGTGAGGGGGTGGTAGTCCCACTTAAATAGCTCTGCTTCTAGTTTGTCAAAAGTCACCTTTTGGAATCTCCATTTTGGCATATCTGCAATTCTGTCATTAGATCTTACAAAAAAAAGTTATGTTGTATACAAGTGGGAAATAGTGTCATCTTTAGATGGCTAACATACAATTTTTTTTTTTTAGAAAAGAACTGGTTTCCAAATGTGGCGTGCCACTAAAAAAATTTAGTTATATGATGTAACCTTTTAATGTTTACAGGTTTTTTAAAAAATAGGCTGTGTCATGATAAATGTAATTGATTGGCAAAAATTTCAAGCTTAAATTCCAGATTTTTTGAAGATGTATCTGGTCATTAAATCTTGCCTATTTTCATGATTTATAAACAAAATCACAAATGCCACAACTAAGCAGAAGCAAAAAAAGAAAAATGCACCCTATGAATTTTATCACAAGTAAATAAAAGTACTGTATTCCTTTAAGTAAATGTACTTATAAGAGCTTTATAACCCAAAGCAAGATAAGTGAGATGGTTTAAGAAGAGGTTGCCATTTTGCAACGAGAATTCTGTACAGCTCCTCCAGGCAGTAGCTGTGAGGGCAGTATCTGTCTCAGAAACTTGTTTCCATGTGTTCTTCATAATTTTGCATTGCAAGCTCAAAGCACCTTGCTACTCATAATTATGAATACATGCAATGACATTTCATCCTTTCATGTGCAAATTCTAAAATTCACTGTAACAGAAAAGTTAAAAGTTGAAAATCTGTCTACAATTTGAAATGAAAGGATCAAAAATGTCAGACATTGCAGAATACTGGTTCCTAATAGAGCTCTCTTTATTGGTTCATTGTTCTTCAGTCATTTTTGTTTGTTTGTTACAAAATGCAGTCTTGACTCTTTATTTAAACAGTACTTAAACTAACTGTTCATGCCATGCAAAAAATAACATTTTATGCACTTTTTTGGGGGGGCTTCCCCTTTTGTTTTAGTTCACAGGCATTATTAACCGCATTTTTAAGAAACAAGTTTTTTTTTATTGCTTTTGTAACTAGTCACATGCTGGTTTCACGTGTGGGACAATAACCCGTGTCTCCTGGGTTGGAATGAATTTCTGGGACAAACAAGTGGTTTTCCATCTTGCACCCTTCTTGAATATTGTCCATTTTCACTTCAGCCACAGCATGGTAAATGTCTTGCCTACAGTTGTGACTTGGGTCCTGGGGGGAGGAAGGGCCCACACAGGCCTCTTCTCTTAAAGGGTCTCTTCCATCACTAGGTGTATCTGCAAAGCAATTTGGGCTGGAGTCTGCTTGTTTGTCCTGCCTTTCCCCTTGGAGCTCTAAAAAGTCATCATCTTCACCCGTGTCTATTTCAGTGAAGCTCCTCCTCTCTCTTGACGAGAAAGGAAAGAGTTTCTGTTTGGGAAACCGAGGGGTCAGCCCTTTGGGAGGTCCCTGACAATGTGCTGAACCCTCAGCGCTCAGCAAGGGTCTGTCTGCCCGGGCAGGGGTTTCTTCTAAGAGGATGGTGCTTATGAGCTGTGGGGTGGTGAGCGAAAAGTCCGCTGTGGTGACCGGTAGGGGCCTGGCTGTGCTGGGCGGGGTCTGGGGTGCACTGCCTTTGTTTTCCTTGAAGTTCACTTTGAGCGATCTGGATTTCAGTGGGTTGCTGCCTTTCAGAGAGCTCTTGGGGCTCTCGGAGTTACTGTCAGATGGCACAGGGCCGTGTACCCCACTTTGGGCACTGCTGGCATCAAGGTTCACAGTTACGTCTACTGGAGCATATTCCAGGGCAGCATTCCTGGCCACAGGCCCTTTCTCTCTGATGAGTGTCAGCAATGGGGGCCCCCTGGCTCTTTGGTGCTCTTCTGTCCCTGTGAGGTCAGGTGGGAACCTCATCTGCAAGTGAGAAGCCGAGGGAGGCGGCAGCGGTGACCTCTCAGTCTCGGTGAAGTCAGTGGCACAGCTGGTGAAGCTGTCGATGCTGGAGGTGCTTTTCATGTCCACGATGACCTCGGTCTGCGCCACTGCCAGCTGCTCCTGCCGGCAGACCACTTCTTCCATTTCTATCTCTTCTTCATACGCAGATGGCTGCTCAGGCTGTTCTTGGCAGTTGGCGTTAGGGTGAGTATGAGGCTGTGTCTTGGTGATTTCATTGTACAGCATCTCCAGTTTCTGAGCACTCAGATGCTGGGGGCTGGAGGAAGAAGTGTTGTTCAGCTGCTCGTGGGAGTCTTTTTGGCTTACTTCCTGGTACTTATTCTCGTAGGACTTGTTGGAGCTTGTTTCTGACAGCGCCTTCCTGGCCCACTTCCACCGGCTTGGAGACAGGTGATTGTCATCAGCCGAGTCCTTCGTATTGGCTGACTCCCCTGCCTTCTCCACGGCCACGTCTATCAGTTCCATACTTCGAGCAAAGGCGTCTTTTAAGTTCATAGAGACGATGCTTCCATTCCTTTTGGCCCGCTCAAGAGCCTCTCGCCTTTTAATTGCCTTCTCCTGGCGTTTCTGCTCCTTGTAAAACTCAGAAAAGTTGTTCACAATGATTGGGATTGGAAGGGCAATCACCAGAACCCCAGCAATACAGCAGAGGCCCCCCACGATCTTCCCTAGCAATGTTTTTGGGTAGATGTCACCGTAGCCCACAGTGGTCATGGTGATGGTGGCCCACCAAAACGATGCTGGGATACTGGTAAACTTGGTAGCATCTTCATCCTTCTCAGCAAAAAATACCAGGCTGGAAAAGATCATTATCCCCATGGCCAGAAACAATATTAATAAGCCCAATTCGTTGTAACTCCGTCTGAGGGTGAAACCCAGAGACTGCAGGCCTGTCGAGTGCCTGGCGAGTTTCAGGATCCTGAGGATGCGCATGATCCGGAAGATCTGAACCACACGCCTCACGTTTTGGAACTGCAGCACGCTCTTGTTGGACTCTGTGAGGAAAATGGTGACATAATATGGCAGGATGGCCAGCAAATCAATGACGTTTAGGGGGCCTTTAAAGAACTTCCATTTATTGGGTGAGGATAGGAACCGTAAAAGGTACTCCATGGTAAACCACGCAATACACACAGCCTCCACATGGGCTAACTGGGGGTTGTCATTGGGTTGTCCAAATTCATCCATTTCCTGCAGCTCTGGTAGAGTGTTGAGAGACAGAGCAATGGTGGAAAGTACGATGAACAGGATGGACACAATGGCCAAGATCTGGAAAAGAGAAGGAAGCCCAAGTTAGCAAGCCCTCTTTGTTCTTTAGGCAGCTAACAGATAAGGATTCACCACTCTTTAAGTGGTGTGGAGTGCTCAAAGATTCTGAGAAGGTGACTTAACAATCTCAAATTCCCCAACTAATGCAAATACATTCACTGTTTTACAAGTTCATTGAACTTAGAGACCAAACATAATTTATATCTAAATTTCAGGAACTAAGAAGCAATTTGAGAAAAATTTATGCCCCGTCCCCCCAGTCTGCCTCACTGTTCATAAGCACAGGTGTGTGAGTAACCACCACATGGAATAGTTTTGGGGGAGCAATCATCTCTTTTAGTTGTCCATTAACTTTCCTCTCTAAACTACTGGTTTGTGTTTCCTTAAGTGAATCACCTTACATGCTATATAAGCTAGACAGAATTCATGATTTCTGCAAGTTTTATTCTATAGTAAAAAACTCGAATGGAGAGACGCTATGGATTTTAGTACAACAATGCTTCTTGTAGAACAAGTACTATTTATGTGGTGAGTGCTGATGGCAGAACCACATCAGGAGAGCCTTCATCCGGGATGTGTGGACTTGTGACCAGCATCATGCGGGAAAGGAAGATGATGGGCTCACTTCATTCAGTCAAGGGAAGTTTCGTAAAGAAGAGCTTGTAGACCATCGCTGATGACTTCGATGCAGGGCAGACATTTGGGGCTGAGGAAATTGCTGCACCATGTCAGGTGCGGGAGCAGAGAAAAGCTCAGCAAGAAGTGAGAAAATCGACTGCCTGGATTTTGGGGTCAGTCTGAGCTCAGGGCCTGGCTTTATCACTCACTGTGTGACCATGGGCAAGTTATTTAAATCTGTTGAATGAAGACAGCAGTCATAGCTATTTCATGCTATCCATTTTCTTCACATCCTTCTAAGTTTCTCCCCCTCTGGGTTATTCTCGTTACTCTTCCCCCTCTGTCCTCTTGTGCCTCCTTTATACCTTCATGTATTTTTAATTCTCATTCTTCCAGCTCCCATCTTTCCTCTTAAATCTCTATAAAGTAAAGCCACATATAATGGATTTCAGAAGGTGTTATGGGTAAAGAATTATGGTTTCTTTAACTTAAAGAACAGTATTTCATTATTGGTGTTGTACGTTTTTTTCTTAAGGAAACCTAAGCCAAGTTTTTTTTATTGGAGTATATTTCAGAATTTCCTTTAAAAAATGTGAATTAATGAATCACAATAGAAAAAAAGGTTGTCGTCATTTACTCTAAGAGACTGTGAAGGCTAAAGTTAGGAATTTCTTCAAGGAAGTTTAGACAAACCCATGGAGAATGGATTTGGAGGGCTTATTAAGGCCAAGTTGGGAATGCTCACCTCAAAACTCTACCTTCAGGACCAATGGCAGGTGATGTTCACAATATTTTTCTAATTCCAGTCATGTATGCAAATATTCCTTAGGGAGATTGTTCAGATCCCATCCAGTAAGTAACCAGTTCATCTGCATTTTCTAGGAGGTCACACTGTTGTTAATATACCTTTATGCATTCAGTACTGGGACCATCGCCATCATTTTTGTACTGGAATCTACATTCTAGATTTTCTGTATCGTCTTATCTGTTCACCTGTCCACTTTGGATGCATCTTACTGATGCCTGTCACTTCAGAGAGCAAGCAGAAAAGTAAATGCAAATGAAATCATTCTATTACCTTCCAAGCTTTTGGACAAAGAGCAAAGTGGGAGGTCCAAGGTGGACCTTCAGTTTTCTTTGATTCCACAATTAGAACTAGATTGTAAATCAGTCTTTGGTCGCTGCTTTTGGGAAATAATGTGGTACTGAATAGTACTAATGCAGCCTATATAGTCTGCTGATGGCAACTTGACAAATATGGCTATATTTTACACACAGAAATTCAGCACATGCACATGATTTGGAATATATTCTTGAAGGAAAAGAATGACCAAAGAGAAACCTAATTACCCAAGCCCTCAGCAGCCTCACATTCACATTAAGGAAACATGAGTATTGAAGTGCATTATTTTGTCTGATGTTTAAATTCAACCTGTCAAACCCATTTGCTCTCAATTGAGAGGAATGGCTTATTTTACATATCTTGTGCTGCTTGGATTTCTCCCAGAAAGACAACATGTTAGACAAATTATTCAATATATACCAAAGATGATGTGTAGTGCAATAAGCCAAATGCAAATTTATTGTTTTATTGTAGGGATTTTTTTAAACAAAATAAATATAATAAGTGTGAAATTCTGCTTTCAGCTAGAACATGGATATTTACTTTAGTACAGCAGACCCTATGGCATTTAGGTATTGCTTCATTTATCATAGCTATGCACAAGCTTGAATTTTAATTCCTGTCACCTCCAACAACTGGCCTCCCAAGCTGGCTGTTGCAGCGCTAGCAAATAGACTTATGTTTGTCCATGGCAAATGAAGTGGAAATTCAAATAATTAGCTGTACCATACTAGTCAACCCCCTTGGAGATTTGGATTAGACCATCTCCAAGGTTCCTTTCATCTCTAACATTTGGTGATTCTCTTTCTAAACTAAAACATTTTGCTAATTCCAGTCAGTCTGCAAACCAAACCAGATCATAGCTGATCCTGTCATTTGCCTGAATTGGCAAAATACAATATTGTTGCTTAAGAAATAAAAAATTCAAAAGGAAAGTCCTTGAAAAATATTGCACTATTATGTTTCCAGCACTTAGTTCCAGACACTCTTTCTGGAAAAAATTTTTCTTCCCTGTTGAATTGCCTAGATAATGATTTTAGTTCTTCTCATAAATACAGAAATTCATAGGATAACATGGAGTTAAGATTAGGGTTCCAAGCACTTGCATTAATAGGCACCAAAAGTTGGTTGCATTGATTTGTGTTTGCGAGAGGAAGTTGGGCAGTCAGACACTTGCCTTGATTATACCAACCTGTTGATGTTATATCCTTTGAAGGGATGTAATGGTGTTTATTTAAGTTGACAGGAATGAAAAGGCCTGTGACAAACATCAATTGGATCATGAATAATTTTGAACAATTTTCTACTTTCAGAAAAAGGACAAAACAGAAGTCTATAAGCCAAAGGTCAAGATCATTTGTTGAAGGGGGAGGCAAGAAGTTGGTTAGTATATTATGATTTTCATCCACTCATCTTTTATATCTAGTTTTTTTCCAGAGGACTACCAAATGCAGCAAGTCAGAAATTAAACCCGGTGATTTGACTAAAGGAAGAGCCATCAAAGATCATTTGCAGTTCTCGTTTCCCATAGTCCTTGAGCATATGATTCTGTCCCCTAAGGCTGGGGGTCCTTGGTTCACTACTAGCCCTTCTCCCAAATGTTCTCTTGGCCCTCTGAGATAAAGCGCTCTCAGCTGATTTGCACACACAAGTAGGAATCTCTTCCCTGCTGACACCACCACCACATGACAGATGCAAAGAAGGAGCCTCCCGGGAAGGTTCAGGCATTCTTCAATTATTTTGGCCCTGTGGATAACAGGGACCCAGGACTCAACCCCCTGCCCCCCATTTGTGGGCTGCTGAATGAGGGGCTTGAAAAGACTTAGTCATCCATGCACAAGCTGATATCAGCCATAAGCCTGCATAATGCTTTCACCTGGGGTGGGGTGGCGTGTAAGAAACAACCCAGTTCACATACTATCAAATTCTTTTGTTAGAATTTGACTCTTACATACCAAATCAATTCTTTGAAAAGAGAGTTGAAGGGTCTGAGTTTGAATCTTGGTTTTGATCTACTTTATATTAGGTTTGTGACCTTGGGCACCGTAATCATCTTTTCTGGGACTCAGTGTCCCCATCTGGAATATGTGGAGAATACTTGCTTTGCTTACCTACACAGCACTGTGTTGAGACTCTGGTGGTTAATTTTATGTGCCCACTTGTCTAGGCTGTGATGCCCAGTTGTTTGGGGCATCTGTACTATGGTACCATCTCACTGTACCATAGGTAAGGTACAGTGAAGGTATTATTTATTGCAATTAATATTTGAATCAGTAGACTTTGAGTAAAGTAGATTATTTTCCATAATGTGAGTAGGCCTCATCCAATCAGTTGAAGGTCTCAAGAATGAAGACCAATTTCCCAAAGAATAAGCAATTCTGCCTCAAGACTGCAACACAGACACCCTGCCTGAGTTCCTAGTCCACTTGGCCTCTCTGTGGATTTCAGACTCAAGACTACAACATCTTACCTGAATTTCCAGCCTGCTGTGTTGCCCTATGGATGTCAGAATTGTTAGTTTTTACAATTGTGTTAATCAGTTCTTAGTATGTCTTTCTCTCATTCTCTCTCATATATGTATAATTACAATATATAATCTCTCCTTTATAACAATATCTTTCCTATTATATATCATATTATACTGTATATATTATGTATACATATGTATACATATATATGATATGCATATATATTGTATATATACATGATACATCCTTGTGATGAAGTCTTATTAACAGCAGTGCTCCAGAAGGAGTGACAAACCCATATTGTGGGGAGTCTGGGCTTCTGAAGCCTTGAAGCAGTATCTTCCAGTAAGTTCCTCCCTTTTTAGCTTAAGTTTGCTAGAGTTTTGATCAGCGTCTGTTATACCCATAGAACCTTACGACTTTCTTAAATAATCATTTGAAAATTTCATAGGAGATAGTTTTGCTCCTTAAACAAGATTTTAGAATTATGGCAGCCAATGACACCTATTTTCCATAGAATTTCTTACAGTGTCTAACACACAGCACACTTCATAAATTTTTTGAATAAATGAATAGCCAAAAAGTAAGGGAGAAGCCCACAGAACTGGAGGAAATGGGAATGGGCCTTGAAGTAACAAAATATTTTCTAATCACCCAAGAAGAATATGACAGTTTCTTAGTCATTTTCTGTTGCTTCCATGTGGCCGAAAGTCAGCCTAAAAGCTTAAGCCAGCAACAAGATTTTTTTTTACAAGGAAGTTTAGACAAACCCATGGAGAATGGATTTGGAG